CAGAAACATAATTTTTTAAGTATTTTATTTTACATTAATTTTCTTCAAACTTATGTTTCTGTTTATTTGGAATACTTTTGAACTCTTCTTCTTATTTTATTTATCTGCTGATGTTGACAAATGAACTAAAGAAATATGGATGGTAATAAGAACTAATTCTAAGAATAAGAGCAACAGCATTTGACAGTGGTGATGTGTTTTTGACGTTGTTTACGTATGTTTGTGTTAGTTTTTTTAATTTATTTAAATTAAATATGAATATACGAACAGTTTTAGTAATGTAAATTCTTATACATTTAAATTTATATTTGCTAAGTTGTAATCTACATTTTATAGTGACTAAGTATGTTGACAATGAAACAAAGGCAGAGGTAAGGTTAGATTTGAATTATGTGACCAAAAGTTAATAAAACCCTATTGTAGGCTAAAAACGAGAGATAAATGCAAATATACTCAATTATCTGGAAAGTATAGCGATGATAGTGGAGAAGAAGTGGAATTGCCAGTATCTAAAAAGCCATTTCGTGAGGTGCCAACTATTGAAAAACCTGTTGATGAAGGGGACACTTTACAAGCAATTTCCATTAGATACCATTGTTCTGTAAGTGATTAAAAGAATTATGAAAGTCCTTTTAAAAATGGTTCTTTTTATTTAGTTGTCAGTTAATTTTGAGGTATGTGTATTATAAACATCAGTTTATTATAATTTTAGATAGCAGAACTTAAAAGAATTAACAATATTCATAAAGAAAATGAAATATTCGCGAGGTCTGTCATTAAAGTTCCCATTAAACCTATTTCCATGGCTTTGGCTGGAGTTCACACTAGTGGTAGTAACTCTCCAAAGGAATTAAATGGTATGGCTAGTACTGTAGATATTGCTACTTTGCAGGATAAACTTGCTGTAAAATTCTTTAATTCATCAGATACTTCTAAGCAAAATGTTGAAGAGGAGGTGAAACAATTAATTTTTAATAGTAATATTAAATCAACTGAAAAAGTAACTGATTCTGTTAGTGAAAATGTTTCTGTTTTAAATGAAGAAGTTATTTTGTTGCCAAAAAAGAGTGACTTAGTTGATCCCATTTATAATNTCAAAAAATAGACAATAAATTTTAAAATCAACACCTTTATAAGCCAACGATTTATTATAATATTAGAATAAAGACACAGGTGCACTTGCATTAGAAAGGTTTATACTCTTTAGGATATTTTGAAGGCATTATTCTTTGTATGTGATTTGATATATGATGCCACTCTAATAGTTTACAGACTTCTATACACTTTTCGTCAATTTCGCGACTGCATTTCTCTTCTTGATAATTTAAAAGGAACTTTAGCAAACGACCGTAATGTTTATTTATTGCTGCATGCCATGCAGCAAATAATAAAACGGATGCATCAACGTTTTTCTCTTTTGGGTCTACAAATTTACACAATGTCTCCCAAGTTTCTGAAATATCATCTTTTGTGGGCTTACAGTCTAACAGTGCATCTACGTTATTTTGTGAATATTGATATAAACGGCTTAAAGCAATGCCTTTATGACATAACGACTCAATAAGGGCATTCTTCTTCAATTTCATTAATTCTTGTAGTTTTACATTGTCTTTTATGTCTAATTTGCTAGCATAGTGGCATAAAATTTCATCTTGGTCTAGATTTCGTAAAATTTTTTCGCATAGAGGCAAAACCTTAGTCTGTAGGTCATCTATTTTATATTTGTTAATTTCATCTTCCTTGAAAGTAGGCAGTTGTACCTTAGGATCAATAGGTTGTAAAAATCTCAGCATATTTATGTGAACCTGTAGGTCGTTTGGAAATCCTTGTTCTATTTCTTCATACAACGTCTTTATTTCATCGGCTTCGTTCATTTTTTTCATCCAATTATTTTTTAAATCTTTAAGTGCTTCCTTATATTCGTCCAATTTCGTTTTATTGTTTGCTTTACTTTCTGTATTTTTTTTGTTGTTGTCGTTTCGGTGTAGCATGTACCTTATCGAATAAGTGTCGACTTTGCCCAGATCATCTTTGGCGAATGTAACAGTTCCAGACAAATAATTGGCGGTATTGTTAGTTTTAACGTTATATTTTTCAGATATAAGGGGACTTATGAATAACGGCACTGCAAATGGAGAATTGGATCGCTGAAATCTATCAGTCTTTTTCTCACCTAACAACGCACAAATGTATGTGGGGTGAACATCCATAGTGATCGGATTAATCAGTTTCATTTTTAATAACATCGGTAAAGTAACCAATTTATCCAAATTTTCCTTTTTATCGTGTCGTATTTGTGATTTAACTGTATAAATTCCTTTGCCTAATTTAATGAAACAGTCAGTAGAGTTTGCGTCTCCACAGCCCAAAAGTTGTTTGTTACTATTGAATATCATCCACATATGAGATTCATATTCGGTCTGATATAAAATATCTCTTAGATATGGATTTTCTAATGTAACTTCAGCTGGTTTTACCAAACTAAAATTGTAACTGTGAACCAGTTCATAAATTTGTCTTCCTGGTGGTATAATGTCCCTGACACTCAAGGGTTTAATTTTTGATTCAGTAGATTCGAGAATTCGAATTGAATTGTTTAATGTGATAGCAGGAAGAATTTCTTCTCCTCTAAGTGTTGTAACATCAACTCTCTGTATTCCTTCCACTGCAAGCATCGTTATAGACGATTTGCTGGGTTTAATGCCATAGAAAGAAATCGAGTATTGTACACTCATATCGCCAATACTATTCCAATTTTTAGCCAATGTTACTTCCAAAATAATTCCACCTTCTACTTTAAAACTCTTTAAATTATCTGTATTGCTTGAAACAGTCAGATCAAATTTTGTTTCTATTGTTTTGTAATGCTTTATTGGTAAAATTTGCATGCAATGTAATGTGAAGTGACCTACATCGGTACATTCAAAGCAGTTCATATTGAAAACGGCCCAAGTAGCGTTCTCAGGCACTTTGAAGAAGTAACGCTTGATTGTGTTTGGTGCGAATATTTTTCTTTTACTCGTATAAGTGTAATTGTTTGTATCAATTTCTTTAGCCTTTATAACAGTTACTGGAATTCTAAAAACTGGTCCCCTAGAATTATTCAATGCGTTGTAGGCTTGTATATTAGTTGTATGAGCACCAGACTTTAAATTTTTTGCGTCAACTTTTACAAAAATTGCTCTCGCCATATTTGCAATACTCAAGTATCTTGGATACTCAATGAAAGGTGCTGCACATTCTAAAACTAATTTCAAATTGAAATCGATTTTCTCGACAGGAGCTGTGTCCTCGGTAAATTTCGGTTCAATATTTATTAACCATTCTTGACATGGCTGGGCATCTGTACAAAACATGTAAATTCCTTTAATATTATTCGGTCCACAACTAATATCAAATCGAACGCTAAGCTCAGGTGATGAGTCTGAGTTGGTAAGAATTTCAAAAGAGTTTTCAATGTTTAATAGACCATGTCCCTGCGCAAAAGTTTCAGTATCTTCCAGCGCTGTAGTTCCATTTTCCAAAGCTCTTTTTATAATATAAGGAGTAAAGTACTTTTGTTCTCTAAGAAGTCCTGACAAAAGCAATGCTATAGCACCAGTTACATAAGCTGATGCTACAGAGACGCATTCTTTTAATTTAGAATTGCAATGGGAAGTTGAAGGATGTGAGAATATTGCATCTCCTGGGGCACAGATGTTTACTCCAAAACTACCGTCAATCGATGGACCTCTTGATGACCATGTATAAATCGTTCCCGATAATTTTTGTCGAAGGGAATGGACTGCAGACATCATTTCTGGAGATACAAAAGAGCCAACTCCAATTATAGTATCTTGACCAATACTGGGAGGTGATGTCACTGTGCTAAGAGCAGGGCCATAGTGACCAACGTCAGCTATCCAAATGCAACGATATTTGTCGATTATTTCATTTATAAGCTCTCCAATATGTGTGCTCAAAGACATTTGGGCATATTGTAATCCAGAACTCCCGTGAATAATTACTGGTTTATTTTTAGATAATTCGACAATTGCAATTATTGCTTGGACAAGGGCTGATCCAGTCACTGCAGAGTTCAAACGATTGTCACATACAGTTAAAGAAACTATTTGTGCTCCAGGAGCAATTCCATTTTTGTCTGAACCTTCTTCAAAGTATCCTGCTGCTGTAGATGCTACATTGGTTCCATGTGGTGATGAAATTCCAACAAATTCCAAAACCTTTCCATCATTATGCACATTAATAGAATAATTGAAGTGATCAAGCTCAGTTAAAAATATAAATTCATGAGTTACATCATATTCTCCTAAAACTTTACATAGCTCTAAATTTCCCTGTTCAGTTATATCCACACATGCATTCCACTTTGAACCATCATGGAAAACTACACAGTCATATGTTGGACCAATATCAGAAAACTTCTTCTCAATATTTGTTAAAACTTCTACCTTTGCTTCTATGTCTTCCTTGGTGAATTTTGCTTCATTATTTAACTCTATAATATTTGTATTTTTTTCTTCAAAGTCAACCAGGTTTCTATTTGCTTCATTAAAATGAGATGTGTGCTGTCTTAACCAATCTTCTTTATATTTCTGCTGAACTTTTTGTCTTGTTTCTTTAGAATAGAGATCGTACACATTTTTACTTCCAACCCTATAGTATCCAGTAGGATTTATCCATTTCTCTGGAATTTTCAATTTTCTTCCAGTTGCGCCATTTATGTAACCATTTATTGGTTCCAAAGGCTTTGATAAAAGAATATCTCCACAGCCGGTGCAGTCCAATCTTCTTAAAATTTTTGGGTCACCTTTGGGGGTTTTCTGGAGTCCTGCGGCTCCTGGATCAACGCCAGAATCTACCACTACAATTATCACGCCACTGCCATCGTATTGAGGATGTTGAAGTAAGAATGAATCTATTTTAGTTTCTCTTTTAGGGATTAGACACCAAGTGGGGAAATCAAGTACACTATTTAAGGGCATGTTTACATTGTCTTCAGTACAAATAATAAATTNGCCAAGCTCAGGTGATGAGTCTGAGTTGGTAAGAATTTCAAAAGAGTTTTCAATGTTTAATAGACCATGTCCCTGCGCAAAAGTTTCAGTATCTTCCAGCGCTGTAGTTCCATTTTCCAAAGCTCTTTTTATAATATAAGGAGTAAAGTACTTTTGTTCTCTAAGAAGTCCTGACAAAAGCAATGCTATAGCACCAGTTACATAAGCTGATGCTACAGAGACGCATTCTTTTAATTTAGAATTGCAATGGGAAGTTGAAGGATGTGAGAATATTGCATCTCCTGGGGCACAGATGTTTACTCCAAAACTACCGTCAATCGATGGACCTCTTGATGACCATGTATAAATCGTTCCCGATAATTTTTGTCGAAGGGAATGGACTGCAGACATCATTTCTGGAGATACAAAAGAGCCAACTCCAATTATAGTATCTTGACCAATACTGGGAGGTGATGTCACTGTGCTAAGAGCAGGGCCATAGTGACCAACGTCAGCTATCCAAATGCAACGATATTTGTCGATTATTTCATTTATAAGCTCTCCAATATGTGTGCTCAAAGACATTTGGGCATATTGTAATCCAGAACTCCCGTGAATAATTACTGGTTTATTTTTAGATAATTCGACAATTGCAATTATTGCTTGGACAAGGGCTGATCCAGTCACTGCAGAGTTCAAACGATTGTCACATACAGTTAAAGAAACTATTTGTGCTCCAGGAGCAATTCCATTTTTGTCTGAACCTTCTTCAAAGTATCCTGCTGCTGTAGATGCTACATTGGTTCCATGTGGTGATGAAATTCCAACAAATTCCAAAACCTTTCCATCATTATGCACATTAATAGAATAATTGAAGTGATCAAGCTCAGTTAAAAATATAAATTCATGAGTTACATCATATTCTCCTAAAACTTTACATAGCTCTAAATTTCCCTGTTCAGTTATATCCACACATGCATTCCACTTTGAACCATCATGGAAAACTACACAGTCATATGTTGGACCAATATCAGAAAACTTCTTCTCAATATTTGTTAAAACTTCTACCTTTGCTTCTATGTCTTCTTTGGTGAATTTTGCTTCATTATTTAACTCTATAATATTTGTATTTTTTTCTTCAAAGTCAGCCAGGTTTCTATTTGCTTCATTAAAATGAGATGTGTGCTGTCTTAACCAATCTTCTTTATATTTCTGCTGAACTTTTTGTCTTGTTTCTTTAGAATAGAGATCGTACACATTTTTACTTCCAACCCTATAGTATCCAGTAGGATTTATCCATTTCTCTGGAATTTTCAATTTTCTTCCAGTTGCGCCATTTATGTAACCATTTATTGGTTCCAAAGGCTTTGATAAAAGAATATCTCCACAGCCGGTGCAGTCCAATCTTCTTAAAATTTTTGGGTCACCTTTGGGGGTTTTCTGGAGTCCTGCGGCTCCTGGATCAACGCCAGAATCTACCACTACAATTATCACGCCACTGCCATCGTATTGAGGATGTTGAAGTAAGAATGAATCTATTTTAGTTTCTCTTTTAGGGATTAGACACCAAGTGGGGAAATCAAGTACACTATTTAAGGGCATGTTTACATTGTCTTCAGTACAAATAATAAATTTTAAGCTACATTCACTATTTTAATTAAAATGTATTATATTACTGATATAATTTAATTTCCTCTGTTCTCTTACTTTTCTACAAATAATGAGGTTAGTTAGTACTATACAGAAGCATAGAACATGCATACCCTTTGTAGATCTATTATCTATGATGGTATAGAATGAATAAAACCACAGCAAAAGTTTGACGTTTAATTTTTTGAAATTGCGCTCGTAACTGTAACCACCAATTTAAATGTATAGAAGGTGATTGTAGGTTATTTTGTTTGTTTTTTTTGTGTTATCTTATTTGTTATATTATTGTTTATTTAAGGGCAAGTAATTAATTATACTCATTACTACATTATGTCCAATACATTTTTTTATTTTGCATATGGGAGTAATCTACTTTCTAAGAGAATTCGTATAAATAATCCAAGTGCAAGAAGAGTAGGCATAGGAAAACTTGCTGATCATCGTTTAGACTTTATTACTTACTCCACTCGCTGGAAGGGTGCTTCAGCAACGATCGTGCCTCATAAGGAGCATTATGTGTGGGGTGCAATATGGGAAATAAGTAATAATGATATGCCTCACTTGGATAGACAAGAAGGTGTTCATGTCAATATTTATAAACCTTTGCATGTACAAGTTCAACTTTTAAATGAGTCTTTCCTGGAATGTCGTGTTTACATGCAAACCATTATTCCTGACTATGTAGAATACATAGAACATCTACCCTTTGAAAGATTTCCTTCTGGAATTTATATAACAACAATACTAAAAGGTGCTGAAGAATGTAATTTGCCAGAGAAATATGTGAAGTTTCTGAAAAGAGTACCCAAAAATGATTACTTTGGAAATGCAGAACTAAAGCTGGAACTTGACATAATAGATTGATTGATAAGGGGACCCTATGATTATGCGAGTATATAGTTAAAGTATACATGGAACCATAATAAACTTAGTTCAAAGATTTTATTATTTTTAAGGTAAGACCATTTACTTACAGAAATTTATTTTAGTAGTACTTATTTAGTTCAACATATAAGTTAATTGAGAAGAAATGGGCTATGTTTCAATGAAAAACTTTTGTTATCAATAAAAATCATTATATTAAGCAAAAAATTTGTCTTTTACATATAAACATGTCTATTCTGTAACAAACAAACATAAAACAAATCAGTTCCTAATTACTGCATCATGGATTGTTTTTAACTGCTTTATTTTATTATGACTTCACAGTAATATTTGTTCATTCAGTAATCTTTTAACCTGAAATAATACAGTTACAAAACATCTTAAAATCTTTTATGAAAAGTACATACATATGAAACTCCCCAAAAGCCGTATTCATCCAATTTGTCAATATCTGTGTTTAGGTGGGAATTCAATTTTAAAAGCCTCTAAAAGTTTAAAAAATTTTAAAGATAACACTTAATCAATTTACTGATTGCTACTTACGTTTGTGTGAATTTTCTGTTTATTTTCGGGCAAATATTGTAAAAGAACTGCAGCAAAAGTGAATCTTTTTATTTTTATACACTTCTCCATTGCATTTTCAAAGTCCAGAGAGAAAAGAACAGGACAAGACTGAAAATATAGAGACCAAGTTAACAAAATTGAATCGGAAAATTTATATAAATAAAATGAATTAACCTGAACCAGATGTAAATTTTCAATACACTTTTGAGTTAATTCTTCATCACTGGTATCGGACATAAAATTAAAGGAAAAATCTATTATACTTTGCCAGGCATTCTTATAGAATTTTTTATGTTGACAAACATCCCCTCGTTTCAGAAAGTTGACATACTCCTTAAGTTCTTTAAGCTTAAAGAATGATAATGTTTTTAAAAATTTGAGTGTAAACAAATTCATTAATTTACCATTTTCATTTTAATCATAGCATTTATAATTATTTCCCAAAACTTTATCTCGTAAATTGTGTATGTTGAACAAATTGAAGCCATAAGTTTAACACTAGCTGGATTATTTCTGTCTTGTGCGAGCCCTTTAAGTAAATCGCGTTTATTACATTTGTCTAGGGTTTCGATGTCTAGAGGAAAACCTAGATATTCTAAATCACTTATTAAAAATAGTTTATCAACGTAGTTTCTGTAAAAGTTATTGAATTATTTCAATTTGATTATTACATTAAAGTGGGCCAAAAAAATTATTACCTAAACATTTCGTATGTACTGTTGGTAAGCTCTTCTAGTACTTTTGCATCTGATATTGTACATAAACATTTAAGAGCCCTTGCTTTGTAACTGGTGTGTTTCAGGTCGTTATTCATTCCTATTTTTAACAATTTTCTTTGCCAGAATTGACGATCACCACTGGTACACATGTACGAAGCCCTGAAAATTAATAAATATGTCAACGTAAAATCATATGCAACTTAAAATGAATGTAAACCGCACCTTTTAAGATTTTTATCGTTTATGTCTGCATCCAAAAAATTTTCTCCTTGAAAATAAGCATCGAAATTAACACTTACTTCCAGATTTACATTTGGTAACGTGGCATCTGACAACCAGCAATTTAATAGTTCGAATCGTATCTTTTCCATATCCAAATTGTGTAATTCAGCGATCTCATCAACAGTTTTATTTATGGCTACATATTAACAATATTGTCAACGACAAATCATAAATTCATTTTTAAAAGTACTTTAGAAAAGGAACAAGCAGAAGTAGTAATTTCAATTAATCAAATTACATGATATTAACAAGATACCTATTTTAGTTTTATCGGTCGACTTTTTAAATTTAAAATTATTACCATTAGTTTGAAAAATTTTCTTCTTTATTTTGTCATTACTTTAATCTTTTTTTCTATATTACCTGGACAAAGCAAGATCATACAATCAGCTTTCTTTAAAATGCGTTCGTCAGCATAAAGAGTTTCTATCAATTTTTCTGGTGGTTGAGTTGCAAATTCTAAATACTTTTTATCTGCCAATTTGTTAATGTACAGAATATTAATTGTGGAAAAGCTGTAGTACTTCTTTTCAACTTTTGTAAATGCTTCCCTTAAACCTGGCGTTTCACTATATTTTTCTTTATATTTCAATGCATATTTATAACATAATCGAATTGCGTTTACTTGATCTGCTCCTATAGATTCAATTTTTACTTGTTATTAAAAATGTATTGTGTGAATATTCGTATTAAATTTACCCGGAGGTGTATGCATGAAAACGTGATACATTGCAGAAGTAGCCTTCTCAATGTCTGCTATGTTTTGAACGCATTTGTCAATTTCTTCAAACAAATCTTGATATTGTAATATTATATTCCATTCGTTTTTGTGTTTAGATGTTTGTGAATCTTTTGCAATCTTTGAAACCTGTAAAAAATAGTATGAATTCATGCCCATTCAGTTGATTTTTTTTTGTGAATGTAAGAGACACGTTTTATTATCCTAGCAGTATACATACATTATTTAAAATTTTTCATCTATAAAAAGATAAAAAGAGTTGTATTTCTAACTTTTTTTTCTACATGTTACCTCTTCCTTGACCACATACGAACAGATGTCATCTTCGTTTAAATTCTTCAGTATCGCAGCAACTTTGAACCATATGTTGTATGTTTTTAAATTAATTTCTGGCCTTATAATGTTCCAAACGTCTTTCGTGAATAAAGTTGGCGTAAAAGGTAATCGCCACTCTGACAATGGATCTATATTCTGAGAATCGGGGAAGCACGTATACCATTCCTCTGTTTCCATTTGACTCGGTTTACTAATACGTCGATAATTTTTTAGAAACGAAAGCATCCGCTTACTGGTCAAGTGTTCTTTCGCTTTTTGCCCAGATAAAAGTTTTAATATGCATATAAAGACTTCATAATGATAGAAATTTACCTAAATAAAAATTATTGTTTTTTATACAAGAAGTTAAGCAAAAATTAAAATGCGAAGGACTTACCGAAATCCATAGTTTTTGAATTTCACTATAAACACATTCCTTGTCAGAAATACTGTTGATAACTACAGTAGAAAGTTTAAACAATTCATCATCTGTACTTTTCATAACAAGATCCTTGTTTCCACACAAATCTACTTTTATTTCGTAATTCGGCTTCCAGTGGAGGAAAATTCCTCTTAAATATTTTGTAAGATAATGCTGTTGATCCAGATTAAAATCGGAACAGAATTCGATCAGCATGCTTAAGTTGAAGAGATTTAATTTTATTAACTGTCTTGCTAAACTGGCCGGTTCAGTTTGGAAAAAATCATCATAGGCAATAGGACAATTGTCGATTTTGTTGTACCATTTTATTAACAATACAATTTTCTGGCATAAATGGCTATTAGTGATTTTGTAATAATTCTGTAATCTGAGGCCCAATTTGGCTATAACTTCAAACTTTTTGATGTCACGTTTGTACAAAGCAAAAGCTTTTATTATCAATTTTGAAGCATATTTTACGTCATAAGTCAGTAATAAAGTGTAAGCAAGTTCTGTGTCGATATTTTGGGCAGAAAACACTTTTTGGAGCAGAATTGTTGTGTAATGTATAGCAAGTTCATTAACGTTATTTGAAAAATCTAAATTAATGTTTGGAAAATGATTGGTGATTAATTTGTTAAAAAAGGTAACCAATTTATAGGCCATTAAATAATGTCCCTCTGTGTGGAGTTTTTGTAAAATCATGGGAAGACCTCGAACTTCTTCAAGAAATCTATTCTAAAAATTGTAAATGAATCATTAAAAAAGTTAATAAGTATATATGCGTAAACAATCCACAAATTTATAACGTCTGCAACTAACTTTACGTTGAATTTATTAAGATTGTCATTTATAAATTAATTATTCTGTTAAATTAATATTTTTAATTCAACCTTACCTCAGTCAAAGAAATTGTATGATAAGTAATACTCGAAAAATTTGTTAGTCTTGGCGTTGTAAAAGCTCCTAAAAAATTATAAAATAATGACAAATGATGAAATATTTAAAGACCGTAATCAGTATGGATGAATTACCTCTGAAGTTTATGTATTTGTTTTAAAATATTTGAAAGGCTATTTATTCTTTATATTACTTACCCAAAAATTTGGAATAATATCCAACAAACCACCGAGCAGATGCGGTATTCCCCCGCGCGTTATTTCCCCAAAATAAATGTTTAAACATCGATTTTGGTTTTGTCTCAAGAAAACGTACAAAATAAAAGGTCATTTGAAAATAATTCAACATATCTGCGTAATATTCCAAGTCCTGTGGTTCCGAATTTAAAATTGCTTTTCCCAGTAATCTTTCTGATAGTTCTAATGCTTCCATAAATTTTTTATGGGATGTATTATTATCTTCAACGAGAACCGTTTCATCCAGAAGAAGAGTTTCGTGAAGAATTGTGGCGTTGTTGTCATTAGAACTTGCACTTTTAAATAACAAAATTGCCATTAAATAAAGACATTTTGGGTTTGTTTCAAACTGATAAAAATCATTGGCAGTCTCAAGAATATATTCGAATATTCCTACTTGTTGACAAAATTTTAAAACTACTTCACTGTAAGGTAGGTTCATACACACGGCAATATCATTGCATTTTTCTATAAACTTTGTGCAGTCGTTCCTAATATTCATCACTAAATTTGTGATAAGTTCGTTTAATATTTTTTCCTTTTTATTTTTATCCATCAAATCGTTAATAGTAATATTAAATCAACTGAAAAAGTAACTGATTCTGTTAGTGAAAATGTTTCTGTTTTAAATGAAGAAGTTATTTTGTTGCCAAAAAAGAGTGACTTAGTTGATCCCATTTATAATGGGTTTTCATGCAGTGGAGTTGATGGAGACATTTCTTTAAAAGCATTAATAATCATTTTTGTGATTCTTATTGTCGTGGCCCCCCTTATTTATGTTTTTTATATAGCAGAACATCCTGAAGAATATCTTCACGAACATTCTGAACACGTTCACTCTAGATAGCGAAAATCGTATGTCTGATTATTGGCTGTTGCATTCTATTTTTTGTTACCATAAAATAATATTTTATTGGTGCATGTTAAATGTAGTATTAATGACGTATTTTTTTCTTAAATTTAAAATAGGTGATAAATTGGCGAAACATTTTTAACATAATTTTAATTACAATTATGTATCATTGGCTCTTAAAAAATGTTACCAAGAAAGTTGGGTGCAATTAGTGAAAAAAATTGGCTTTAAATTTTTTGGAAGTGAGTGTTCATTATAACTGTAAATAGGTAATTTGTATAAAGGGTGTTTGTTATTTATGTACATATCTTTTGTTGCGAATCTTAAAAAAAAAATAAAACGATTGGATAACGTTTTAAANGTAGTTGCTTTCTATTTCTTGTGGAAATATCTACAATTTTAAATTTTTTAATTTTAACTTGTAAGTGCGAGATTTTTTATTTGATTACGTTGCTTTGGGAAAGGGACTGAAATAATGCAGTCATCTTTTTACAGCATCTTAAAATTTCCTTTTCTGTGTTATTGTCCAGTATTTTCAAAGCAGTTTCGTGATCCCTAATAAATAATTTTAATGTATTTCAAATGGAATATTGTGATTTTCTTGTATACTCACCCTTGTCCGGCATAATGATATATAAGAAGGTAATTGACAAAATGCTTTTCTTCATCATTTTTACACAATTTAAACACATCTTTAAGGAGAGACGTGGTGTTACAATAAATCATTCTTTGAACAGCAAATTTTAACTGGAAATTAACGTAAAAAAAAACTAATGTAATTCACTATTGTTATTACTTTACTTACGTCGTATATATCGTTCAAGGGAACTTTGTCCAGTCCATACACTTTTTCCTTGAGAACAATTAATCTAGGTTCGTGTTCAATTGCCTGTACAATTTCGCTTACGAGAGGATGAGAATAACTCAAAGACATTCTAGTAATTTCGTGAATTCTGTCGGACCAAGGAATTTCTGCTACTTTCAGTATTTCCAAAACAGACATTACCTTTAACTCCACCGAATTTATACAATTCAGTAGCAATGGAATTACTTTTATCCAGTAATGTTGTTCATAATTCAACAGATCCTAGAAATGATTAATTATTTGCTAAACATTACGTAGACTTTGTAAAAATTAGTCACCTTTATTTTATTCATGAAAACTTCGTCAGGATTAAGTCCATGTTCAATCATATATTTGCCCAAAAAATCTTCTAAAAGACATTTATAATCATCGTCTGGTGAAATAATATTTAGTAAACTGTGAATAAGGTTTTCTGGGCCCTAAGGAGACATTTCATTATAAAAAATAAATAAAAAGTAAATGATAGTACCTCTAAATATTCTGCCAGTGGAATTGTTATGTTATATGTATTTCGTAAAGTTTTTAATTGCTCCAGAGCATGTACCAAATTCGAAAGACTATCTATTGCCTTGTGATTTAAAAAACATTGTCGTTGAAAGTTCGTGTTTTGTATGCCATCAACTTTTAGCAAACTTATAATTCTATTCGTGAATGCTATTGCATTCGTAGGAAAATTGTCGTAATTGTTTCGTTCTATTTGAAATGTCGTTTTTAAAAGCCATTTGACAAATAATGATAATGTTGAAGGAAGATGCCTCAAAGTTATGGGGATAAAAGTGTACAGAAATGGAACGTAATTATTTGATGTCAACTATAAACAAATTTTTAACAGAATTCGTGTTAAAAAGTTTCTGCATTAATTGAATACCGTGTTAAGTTCATCCAGAATCATTTGAATGTGTTCTTCGGTAACCATCGACAATGTAAGACTATCAAGATGATTGTATATTATTATGCACTCTTGAAAGTGTTTCTGAAATAAAAACATAAAGAAAAGTTTGATCTACTGCTTCAAGGATATTTTCAAAAAAGTATACCAATTTTAAATGCATTGTTAGTTCTTCAAAAAGATTATTCACTGCTGAAAAGTTATTCCAGTCTTGCATGTCATATTCTTCAGAACCATGACGAACTATTTCCATAAATGTATCAAATCGATACATAAGATTTGATACAGTATTTTCCAAATGTACAACTTCAGAATCTAACTTCTAAAATAATTAAAATATATTTACCAGAAAGTGTAATAGCAATAAAACTATTAATTTTAGATACCAAGGAACGATGCACATATTAAATTGACCTTGTCAGACATATTACTCATATTTTTAATATGGGTAGAAAATTTCAAATTCCTAAAATATTCAGATACCCTGGGTATCTCTTTGATATTACCTGACTTGATAACGAAACGAGTTTGCAGCCATAGTCTAAGACCTTTTTAACATCTTCAAAGTGGCTGCAACAGCACTGAACGTCGATACAACATTGGAGCTTAAAAGGGTAGTCATCAATGTCGTCAAACATCTTCAACAAATTGTTGACATCTTCCGGCTGACAAATTCGTTTGTCTACAATAAATTGAGCTTTCGCTTTTTTAACGAGACTTAATTCGATGTTGTATTCAATAGCGAATTTTTCAGCTTCATCAAATTTTCGCTTTCTTAAAAGTCTTTCAAGTCTTTTTTCAGGTGAAGTTTCGGAAACAATTTGAAATCTTAATTCAGTTATGCTTTTATCAGACAATAGTTTGCAGATGTACATACACTCGTCGTTTATAGTCTCAGGATGTATAAGGTGTATAGGATTGAATAGTTTTAATGAGAAATATATATTTTCATCTAAAATTAATGTTTTAAATAAGTAAACCAATTAGGAAGCAATTTAAGATAAAGAATACAACTTCTTGAGGTTTTAGATATACCTGAATAATTAATCAATTGCACATACTGCTGCCCCAATTCATCTGGCTTTGTGACACCAAAAATATAATTATCCAATTTCTCTTCAATAAAAATAAAGTCATCAAATAAAAACTTGTATTCGGTAACAGAAATCAAAAGAGATTTTGAACAAATTTGAAGAATTTCTCCAGCATCATTAAGAGCAACAAACAAACTAAAAAGATAGCGTAGTGAGTTGGGAATTAGTAGTTATTAGGTACTAATAGTTCTTATATTTATATGCTTATACTTGCCTTGTGTCACAAGGAAATATTTTTTTGATGCTGTAATCAAAATCATCATTAATAACATCTAAATAACCAGTTTCTATATTATAAACATAAATAAGAGAGCCACTGGTTATTAAAAGAGTTGGGTGCATATATGATGCATATATAGTAGCACTAGTTGGAAAGTTTAAATTTGTCAAATTGGTAATCGTAAACTCTACAGAATCAACTTCTGTTTTATTTGTTATTGTGCTAGATAATCTAAAATTAAAGTATGAGACAAATATATTTACACATTTATATATAAATGACCAAAATAAGAAATATAGTTTACCTTATAATCCGACCACAATTCAAAATAACAATAAAGTTGAGGTAATTATTTACTTCCACAAAACAGCTGCAAAAGAATGATACTGAAAAGTTAGTTTTATCTTCAGATAGATCTCTACAAAAAGCAATAATTAGTAAGTACTTTATAAAAGTAATGAATCAATTACTCTGTGTACACAAGTTGATATTCATTTTTAGTACTAAAACAGTGAATTGTCCCGTTTTGTAGACATAATAACAAGTATTCTCCTTCACTAGAGACACAAAAACAGTCCACAGTGGCATCAAAAGTCCCATTAAAACATAAATTAGAGCATAACAGATTCTCAAAAATTCTCATACTTTTGCTAACAGAGAAAAATATCTTTCCTGATTTTATCAAGGCATTTATTTTGGGTTCATTGTTTGTGTCCTTAAAATGAAGCATAATAATTTTTATATTGCAGATTAATGCACACGCTTTAGTCATACATTTCTTTCATTTTTAAGAGTGGCTAATGTTGAAACTTCATATAAATTACCACCATCTGCAAAACTTCGAGCTCCAAAGTTTATTGTTTCATCTGCTAAGTTAAATCCACATTCAATAATATTCCATTCCTCCATAATAAATAAATTACAATCACTTTGAAGTAGTAAACGTTAATTATAAATTGAGGTTAGTATTTTGAATTTGATAACTATTCTTTAAAAACAATTTTTGATTGGCTTTTGGTTAATTCCATTTCGCGCTTGCGTGCTTCCTAATCAAGCAGGTAGTGGTTATGTATACTCATTAATCATTAACTTTGTACTTTCATTAAATTAAGACTTAAATTTGTTTTTAAAATTTTATAAGCTATTAAAATTAGAGTTAATTTTCATAACGAGTTATTTATTACTTAATATTTGGTAATTGGCTCTAATTACTTCCTATCAACTATCGGTTGTGTTAACGTGTAGCAGGTTGTTCGAATTTGAAAATAGTCGGCGGGCAGACGTCAAACTTTGTGTAAAATTTGTTTCGGGGTGTTTTAGCGATCTTTTTTAACAAATTACTAAGTAAAATGCACTGTGCTACTGTAAAAAATTATTGCTAAGCCAAAAGTGAATAAGAACAGTAGTTTTTCATAAAAGTTGTCTCTATATACTGGAACAGCGGGTGCTTGCAGTCAAGGTAATTTATTTTCGACTTATATTACTAATTAAGCTAAATTTACTCATCACCACTTCACGTATGAACATATTTAAGTACAAATCAAAACAAGGGGTTAGCATGCTAAAATTTCTGAAGGTATGGGTATAATTTCTTTCAAAGCTTATTTGGGGGGACACAGGTAGTAAATCACAAAAAAAAGGGCAGTCAACTTTAAGAAGGGTTTATATTACTTTTGCGTTTAGTGTAAAATTAAAACAAAGTTGCTTAATTATTAAAATATATATTATACATAATTAATTATTGATTTTGTTGTAATGCATTCATTTCATCAAGGTATATTCTTTGCTGAACATATTCTCTTACACAATGTACTTGAGCTTGCCATTGTGCAAACCAATTATCAAAACTAGAAACATCATCGAAAGTTAATCCATCATTCCACAGAATGTTACTGTAATAATCAAAATATGACTCGGCTACTTGGTTAATGGAATTTCTTGTATCTGATAATGTATAAATTTCTTCATTGACTTCCACACTCTCCTGTATTGTTAAGCTTTCTTCTTTACATGCAGTTAATTCTCGTTGAACGTCATTATTTTCATTGTCAGCGTATTCTTCACAAAATTTACTTCTTTTTGAGTTTCTATTTTTATTTTTCTGTGACCTTGTTTTTCTCTTGTCTGCTTTAGCAGGAATTTTATTTTCATTTACTAATTGTAAGTTTAAATCATTAAATTGGTCAAACTGATCTGGTTTATTATCGACTACTTCTGACATGAGTTCTTTGCATTTTGAAGGTTGCGTTTCTAAGCCATTTCTGGATTCACCAGTGGTTTTCAGGGAAGAAATTGGTTTAATTAGGAAATCGTAACCAATTTTAAAAATATCTTTTAAGTGAAAGTTATTATCTTCTTCTTTTTTATGACTGTTTGCATAATTTTGCTCATTAGAAACTGAAACTTCTGAGTCAGATTCTATGCTTATAGACGATACTTCGGTTTTCTTTAAATAATTTAAGTAGCCGTTAAGTGGTTGCGTAATATCCTTTGAAATTTTTTCTTCTTGCAGATTATCAGAATTTGTAATCAATTTTGCAACATTCAAAAGTGCTACATTTCGTATTAAAATGTCATCATCATTTTTGTTGCTAATATGTAATGCATCATCTTGTTGTTTCATGTTTCCCAAAGCTAAATTTTGTAATAAATTGTTCATACTTGTATTTTTCATTTCTTCTTTATTATCTAATTGTTTTTCTTCAAAGTTAATTTCTGATGTAAAAATTTCAAGTAATGTTTTTAATTCAGGTAATTTCTTACTATTTTGATCATCATTGGTTGAAGTACTGTTGTTTTCGTTGCTTGGTTTAGCAGAGTCTTTTCCAGAGGCCAACTCTTCAAGATAATTCTTTAGTTCTAATGATTTTGCATTATCATTTGTGATATTAATATGACTTTTATGGGCAACACTTAAATTCTTCAATTTACTTGCTACACTGTCTTCTTCACATTGTTCAAGTCTATATTTTATAATATCAGAGACAAGTTTTTTTAATTTTTGGTCAGTTTTCGGTTGAGATCCCATATTTGTAATTCCACAGATGTGATCCAAACTATTAGTTTCAACATTCCATATATCTTCAAAAAAACTATCATTAATATCTATTATTGGTACAGACATTTCTGGGCCCCCAATATCTCCCAATATTTGTTCAAACCTATCTAACTCTTCACCAGGCAAGATCATATTGATATAAATTCCTTTTGTTTTATTTACTACTTTTCCTATTCTTTCAATATAAGCTGCACTGCACATTGGAATATCATAATTAATTATTAAATTAACATCACATTGAAACTTTCTCATATCCAAACACGTTGTGCTAATCAAACATTTGGATTTTTTAATTTTCTTTGTTATCTCAGAATCATTTATAAAGAAGGGAGCATAGAAAGAATTCCAGCCTTTATCTTGAAGGGTTTTACTTATATATACCCCTCTGCTTTCGTTATTAGTGTAAATGATACAACGAGTAAATGAAATTTTTGATAAAATACTGCACAGTTGCATAGTTTTTGCTTCTGTTATTGACCCAGCATTATCTTGTGGTTGATTTATAGTACAAACAAAGTGACTAAATCCCAACAGTACAGAAGATTCAATCTCATGACTTATTTCTAATGGATGATTCATATATTTTTTGAGAAATTCTTCTAAATCCACTGAATATACTGAAGCAAGTGAAATAATTTGCTTTTTACTAGGAAGTAATTTGAAAAGTTCTTCAAAAAGTATATAATCAAAATTCATAAGTTTATCACTATTATCCAAAATTATCAAACTAATATTATCTGTTGGTAATGTTCCTGAGTCAATGAAACTTCTTATTTTATTAGTACTAGCTATTGCTATGTGACAATCGAAAATATTTTCATAATCTTGTGTTTCTTCATCATATGTAGAAACTTTTAAACCTAAAATAAGAAAGGTAAATCTAACTTGACTTAACAAGAAGTACTTCTTACCTTCTAAATATTGTCCCAAATTAATCATAACTTCTTTTATCATGCGTATTTCTTCTTTACAAGCTAAGATTAGAACCTGAGCATGATTTGAACCTATTTTAATTAACTCTAAAGCAAGTATAGCATATAATACAAATCTTCCTTTTCCTGGGTGATCTTTAATAATTAAATCTATAAACACGGACAATTAAAACTGATAACATTAGTAAATATTAATAACTTTACCAAATCCACTTATTCCTAATGGTAAAGAGGTATGCTGAAGTGGTGATAGCTTTTGAAAGCTAGAGTCTTTAAGGGCATTTAACAATGATTTTGTTAAGAAAATATTGTCGAATTTTAATGGATTTTCATTTTCATTTTTAAATATTTCTTCTACTTCCGTATCCATATTTTATATTGAATATATATTTTTGTTAAAGTTAATGACATTGACTATACTGTACAAGAATGTTTAATTAAACAGTAGTTTTAACAAAAAGATTTATTTTTCAACGTTTTTTGGTTAACACAACGTAAACAATGTGATCTTAAGGTTATGGCGTAAATTTAAACTACCATTTTTAAAATGTAGTTTGAGAGGGAAAGGGGAGATGTCGCCAGCTGTATTCTAATTGGTGCAGAAAAACTCATTAAAAATATGTTCTGTTGTAGGATTATATTTAGTTTCTTAACAATTATTTTTGTAATTTTAACGATGTACATACTTGTTACTGCTGAGTTATTATATTTGTTTACACCTCAAAATTTAAAAAATTCAGTGGTTTCGATCTTATCTTGATGAAAATTCATTTTAAAAGAATTGGTACTATTTATTGACCTGCAACGTATTTCGCCAAAAGTTGGTTTTCTCAGACGAAGAACGTTGAAGTCAATAAATAGTTAGTGAAAATCTTTTATGTTGCACCTTTTCGTCGATCTTAAAGTTTGTTTAATTTATTTACGGTTAAATTTTAAAACGAGCAGAATAATTACTTATTATAAAGTTAGTGATGTTATCAGAATTAGGGAGATATAAGTGCTTATTATTATAAGTACCAGCTTTTGAGGTGAGTACCAATTTTATTGCACAATTTGTTAGTTCTTAAAGGAGACTAGGTAACAGATACCTATACATAATTACACCTACTCAGTTGCAAAATAAAATAATACCTTCCGAAAGAAAGAGGAAAAAGTTAATTTAAATTAAAATTAAGACTTCTGCATTTCTCTTTCCTCCTCATTCTTACTTGTGCTATTTGAGGAAAGACGTGAGGGAACTCTTAAATTTCACAGACCATTAATTTAGCTTTTTCTGCCCTCTCGTTGAATTTAAAACCTACCCTTCTCCTTCGTCTGTCTTAAAAGTAGAAGAATGTTCAATTAGGATCTTATTTTTAATTTTTCTTTCTTTCGCTTGTCACTTAGAGCAGGTTTAATTAAATTTTTGGCCTTCCTTTTTACGCTCAATTACCTAATCGTCGAAACACGTCCAAGCAACTCTACCTACAAATTGACTTTATTTTTACTTGAAGCACCGTTTTAAATTATTTTACATTTTACAACTAACTTATTTATTAGGAACATTGGAAGGGTTGTTTTTCATACTTACATTATTTTCAGTTACGTGCAAATGATTCGTTCATAAATTGTATCAATTCAATTAATAAGTAGGTACTAAAAAGTAGGGATGTTAGGAAATATTCGAATTCGAATTGGGACCCTAAATTTTCTGAAACTACGGAGGTTGAATAAAAAAATTTCAGTCTTTCTCTGGAAATTAACAATAAACTGTTAAGACCAAACCAAAAACCATCATCAGAAATCGGTTTATTATTGGTAGATATTTAAATTATCAATCCACAAACATTTTTCATTTCAGTAAACGAGTTAATTAGGGATGACACACGATACCATGTGCGTATCGATAATACATTTAGTTGGTAGTTGTATAGGAAGAAAGCATAAAAACATTTTTATTTAACAAAAAATTAAATCGACGAAAGAAGAAACTGAAAAGTGAAATATAAAGTTAGTTTTTACTTTTAATAACTAAACTCCTGAACTAATATATATGGGTAAGTGATGGGTACCTAAGCCGGGACAAATAAATGACCCAAGAAAAGCGGTTCCACATTTCTTAGTTTAGGAGTATCGATACTAAAATTGCTTGGTATCGAAAAGAACTTATTACATTTATGGAATCTAAAATTTACTTGACTGCTTAGATAATTAATTACGGGACGGCCCATGAAATTTGGAGCAGTCTGTCGGTAACCCATCATAAACGTCACCCTGTACATTTTAGTTATTTATCTGGGTCCTGATTTCTTCCTGCACACATGTAGACGTCGCGGATCGAAATAAAAAAAATGCTAATTGTTTTTACAACTGAGCCGTTGATGACCCTTTCGTGATTAATTTACGGGATTGTTTCACTTCATTGTCAGAGGGGCTATTCGTTTCAATTTTCTTATTACATTCGCTTATTCCCCGTTTCGAATTGTTAAATTGACGTTCTTCTGTAGTAATGAAGATCTGTGGACCCCACACTTCGTTACCGTGATTGGTTTCTTCACCCCTCTTCCCTCGGAGACCGATCGTAACGCGGCTCCTCGCGGGGGGGGGGATGAATTGTCGTAGTGGGGATGTGTGACATGTTGAAGTGCAAACACGATGGTGGGGATACTGTAGGCGGGGACGCATTGTGCTCACGAGGTGGGATGCGAATGTGTCAATGTGGCAACGGGAGCCACTGATTTATTAATAAAAGAGAGGGCTTTAGACAGATATGTAGTGTAAAGTAACAGAGATTTCCTTTGTGTGGCTGTTTGCGGCGATTTGTAGGGATTTGTTGTCTATTAAGCTACACGCCTGGTCGAGAATATTGATTTTAGAGTCGCAGCTTTAAAAATTGCATAATCCAACAGAACAACCACTTCAAGGCGATTAACTTGAACGATTATCGTAACCAGAAACTCTTACGTATACGTTTGAAGGCGCCTGACGTAAAAAATAGAAAAGGTTTTTCCGAACGTATTATGCTTGAGCTCTAGATGTATGACAAGTTTTTTATGATTACGATATTCCACTCTGGACTCTTGCTGCTTCGTTCATTTAGGTAGATTGTGATTCTGTTTTGGAAATTCTATTTGAGATGAAGGTAAGACAAAGGGCAGGGATTTTTCACATTCCGGAATTATTATTGGGATTTGAAATAATATAGATAGTGCGGATTTTTTTTTTTTTGAGTTTATATCTTCAAAAGAAACGAGACCTTTATTTGAGTTATTTATAAAGCGTTAAACGAATTGGTATAATTTTCCTGCCAAGTGAGTCGTTGCCTCTCATAACACGACTAGTTATTATAGGTATTATACAATGTAGGTATGTTGCGTTGCCTCGTCGATCGTCTACCATTTTAATTAATTATCTAAATGATTATTGCATCCAAATGCACCGCAATGATGCGAGTGTGAAGTGCAATGACGATATAGTTTGTCGTTCGGCGAACCGTATGCGAATTGTGACAATTGCACTTGCTTTTTTGCATAGAAGGGTTAATTTTAAACAAACCACGTCTTTTCCACATTCAGTGTTTGGTTTCCGAATAGGTAAGCGGTAGTGGTTTTTGAGCCATAACAAAGATTTTATTTAACTGACGAATTAAATTGTAAGTGTTAAATTTACAAGTGGTAAGGGTAGATATTTTGAGACTGGTGGATGCCCTTGGCATGATCAAGTCTTCCCATTACCAGTTAACGGATTTATTTTACACTAAATTAGTTTTAAAAATGCACTAGCGGTAGAAAATAAATTGATAATTCTCATTTCTTTTGATGAAGATTAAAGATTCAGTATATGACATCTTCGTATAAGAAAGATAGACCCTTTTTTATAGCTGATGTATTTATTAATATTGACTGGATTTTTCAAATTTTATGACGTTGAAGTTTTACAATTCTTTATGTTTTAGTTTCTAACGTTTAAACCTTGTTTAAGGTAGGTAATCGATGTGCGTAGGTAATATATGTGAAATAGCAGAGAACGTTGGCTTCTCTCATGCGACAGTGTGGCAAATTTTAAAGGAACAGTTGCTGCATCTTTATCATTTGCAGCGAGTGCTTGAAACTGATATTCATGTGGGACAGAATTTTGAATTTTCACAATAATCGTATGTCGTACAGCCTACGCGATTTCAAGAATTCTTTTCGGTAAATGCGTGGTGCGAAATTTTTGGTGACTTATTTGACTTTTTTGGTTTACTTACAACCACCCGCATGAAAGGGTTATGCGCCTTAGCAATACCTCACTGGTAATGTGGAAATTTGCCTTAATAAAATTACAATTATCCATATGATGCTCATGTATCGATTAATGTTTACGTAACTAATAATTATATAATTTTTATTTCTTTTGTGTTGGTACATTTACATAGTGCCACCTGTAATCTACTTATTTAATTTCTGTAGTCATTACATGCAGTACTAAGTTGTTTATGCTTATCTTAAACGTTCGATTATCGCTAATGTTTACATTCTCCGTCCATGTAGCTGCAGAGTTTTTATTGCACTACCCAATTCGGTAGACACCTATGTTGCCTATCCCTATTCACCCACAGGACTTCCAAATCTGAGCTCGGCCCAAGTTCATTCTTTGTCCCTTCAATTCTTCTCAAATTGTTTTTTTATTGGCGCCAGTGAAAAGTAAAAAGTATGTCATTTGATGAGTGATTTTTAAGCTGTAAGTTTATATCATATGTTATTATCATGTTGCATATCCAATGATGTTGAAAATAGCTTTTATAGGTAGGTACTCATTTGAAAATACAATACTCTCATAGATTTGAAGTCCAAATTTTTCCGTTATATCTTTGGATCGTATAGACAGCATCAGTAATTATATTATACAAATAATCTTTCAATTTTTTGCTGTTTCGTTCGTTTTCCTGCCTTTTTTTCGCCTTTTATCATCACTACCCATTCTTAACTATTCCTAAAGGAAACTACCGACCGACTTCCACCACATTGCACCACAGAGTGCTGTATATTAAATCGGTGGTATGATCCATATGTTCCAGCATAAGCGGAGGTAACGAAATAATAATTTTCTTTTTCAGATAAGCGCTTTCTGATGGTTACTTCATAATGTACAGTAGACAATAAGTTGTTTCAAAGCAGCTATTTTCGAAAGCATTAAGCATTCCGGCATATAATTTTTGGTCGGTTTTAATTTAGGAAGTGACTATACTGTCAACTGTCTTATTGTTTTGCTGTAATGATCTTCTCTCTGCTTATTTTTTTGACGAAGCTCGAAATCTATGTGAAGAAATAGCTTCAGACGCTCAACAAATACATACGAATGTAGAACGTATCTACTGATGCATTTAAGCACTGGTTTAACAATCTAAACGACTTTTAAAGACCTCATTTGTTATTCGTTTGATTTTTATAAATTGGCCGATCACGTATTAAATGTTTTACACGCTAAATATTATTGGATGGAAAATACTTCTTCTTTTGGATGATTTTTATCGGCTTAAATCTAATTTTTGCGTAAATATTTATAGGTACCTACAAGGGCACTCTGATGAGATATTCTTTAGTCATCTCCAGTGCATTTACTATTTCCTTTAATTAGGCAGAGATATATTACGATCCACGGAGGTCGATTTACGTATATACACATATGTATTTCTATTTTTCTATGTGTGCGAGCTCTGCGATATTTATGTGTATAATGTTTAACTTTTCAACGTGCAATTATTTATGTCTTTAGCAGAATTGGTTCGCTTTACTTTCTAATCGCTACATCCAGGTTTGTTTGCGAGCACATGTCCGTTAGTCGGAGATCTTTATTGCGATTAATTAGACGAAAACATCTCTGCTATTTGTCTTTGATCAAGAACCGACTCGTTAGAGCCAATTCATCACCTTAACAGTATTAGGTAAAAAGAAACGAATGAGAAGAACCGAGGGTAGAATTTTATTGTTAATTAAATAAATTACAAAATAAAATAACGGTATAGTGCATGTAGAAATTGAGGTTTGGGGAGAGGAATCGCAATAATTTTATATTTTATTATATCTGCTTTTTAAGATACATCTGTTTCTTACTTCGCTTCATGGAACATCACTTATTCACTTATTCTTTTGCCGTTATTCTTCCCGCTTGTTCCCTTTTCATTTCCTTATTTTACACCCAAAAAAAAACTTGGGTGTTTCATTCCCACCAGCAGTAATGCTGGTGGGCGGGCAGTCCCTCCGGACTACGCCGGAAGGTAGGGCGGAAGGCCCTCTTCAGCCTGCTTTCAGGAATCGTGCCTCAGCACTTGCCTAAGTGATCCAAGGAAACCACAGAAAAACTTGGACGAAGGCAGACGGACCCGGAATCGAACCGGCGTCCTCCCGAATGCTAAGGAATGGTCTAAACCTCTAGGCCATGCCGCTCGGCTTTTACGCCCATAAATCCATATGCTTATGAATTTTTGAAAATATTGTCTGTAGGTACATGCATTACTGCCCCAGCGTGTGAATCCACAGATAAATTTGGGCCGGGGTAGATGAATCCAGAATATCAATCGAATCAGTGTCGTTCTCCCCAATGGTCTAAACCTACAGGCCACGCTGCTCGGTACACGTACCCACACCTTTGGGTATCTCTTCGAGTGATCTTTTTCGTGCATGACAATGAAGGCATCCACATAAACAAGGTGCTAGAAATCGCAGCTGCACCTGCTCATGTATAAGTAATAGCAGAAGTAATTAATTTCATTTCGCATCGTTTTAATGAGTCGTTCGTTGGCTGACGGGGAGAGATGGCAAATTACGCTTGGGTCTTCGACACTCCCGCGTGTTCTTCTTACCGACGGACAGACGGATGCTCCTTGCGGCGCGACGCGGCGAAACGGTCGATATATTCGCTCACGCGGGCATGGGCGATTTGCACACCATACATCGCACTATTGCCTATGTTTTGTTTTCCCTTTTCGAAATATATACTGCTAATTTGTGCCGATTTTTCGATAAAACTAATTGCCACTAGACGGCGTTCATGTAAACGGGGTAGCGCAACGCAGCGTGGCAATTCTGAAAAGGAAGTCGATCGTAATAAAGATATTCCTTGCACTTACACTATACACAGGACTAAGAAATGTTCTGCTAGTGTTGCTGCTTACGTCTATAACTAATGTGTTAAATCTGTAACAAGAAGACGATTTTGCGATTAATGGACATAGTTAACTGATAATGGGTCAGCTTTCTCTCTCTCATTCTGTTCAGAATTGGATCGCATGACCAATAGGTATTTTATACTTCGACCACCTCTCTCTCTCTGGTAGATACGTAATCCCTTTAATAATACTGCATGGATATCGAATATTCCTGGATATTATCTACCATATCAGATAAATAGAAACATAAATATCTGAGAGGATAAATAAGAAGAGAATAACAAGAAGAAACAAGATATCACTGTGAAAAATTTGCGTAAGACAATAAATAGATGTATAGTCTGTTCAACTGGATAACATGTTTAGATTATATGCGATGTATAGTCTGTACGTCTCTGTCTATCACTTCTTCACTATTATAAATAACCCATAAAAACTGTCAACTATCCCCACGCACTTCGAAATCTGTCGACTCGATTTGTTAAGGACGAACACGCCCCCCGTGTTTCCGCCCCCCATATCAAACCCCGCCCAACTGTTTCGGATCCTGCTCAGAATAGCGTGACAAGTCGTGGAGAATAGAACTTAAATGTTACGTCTGCCGAGTCCTTAAAATGTTGTTTTCTTTTTGGTGAAGATCTACGATTCGATTGATCGTGGCGCTTCTCGTTTGGTAATCTCAAAGGCTTGTGATTAAAGACAAAGTGATCAGTAGTTGATAGCCTACCATTCATCAAGTGCTTATCGATTTTGGGGAGCATGATTGTGAACTGTGGTGTTTGGAAATCGGCATGTGATAAGGATAACTATTCGCTCCTGACGGTGTAATCAAGTGTTAGTGAAAATGGCGCTCTTAACATCGAACATGCTGCCCCAAGCGCTCCATTTTTCAAAGCCTTCAATCGAGCCAGCCGAATCCTCAATTTCGATGGATTCGAATGCCACATCGACAAACTATGACCGAGATCCGAGTTCCCCCTTGATCGATAACAGCAGTTGCTGTAGCAACGACACAATCTTGTCCGTCGGCAATGAGAATCCTCCAGTATCGGAAAACTTGAGTTTTAAGAACATCGAAAATCATCTAAATGCTATCTCACAAATAACAAACAGCACGCTAGAAAGCAGGGCACGTTGTCGGAGTCCCTCTAGTCCCATGAGTCAAAGACTGAGCCCGAGTAGTAGTCGACAGAGTCCTGTAAGTTTAGGCTTTAGTCCGAGCGGCCAAAGATTGAGTCCTAGTAACCACAGCTTTAGTCCTGCGAGTCACAGATTAAGTCCTGCCAGTATTAAATCGGTTTCCGATGACGTCTCCTATCGGAACGGCGATTTTTTCATTGAAAAGTCCAATCCGACGTCGCCAATGGAACCCTGTTTCAGCAACCCTCTGTTTAAGGGTAGCATGTTCTCCCCAGCTAGTCCAAACAATCGCAGGCTGAGTTTTTCAAATCCCACATCCCCGTCCGACACGTTGAGTCGAAGTCCTAAGCCGCCCTCAGAAGCTCATCATCAGTCTCATACGCTCTTCAAACCAGATCCTAATAAAAACACTACACCGAATAACAACGATGCGAACGGGACTAGTCTCAAATTTTCAATCGATAATATCCTCAAAGCTGACTTTGGACGAAGGATTACTGATCCGATCAACATAAAAAGAGCTAATAAGCCAAAAAGACCAGCTGTGACCGTCTCTTCGACCAGTTTCGAAGAGTCTTCTAAAAGCTCCGATCCAGTAGATCTCAGTAAAGCGGCGGAAAATTCGGTCAAATCACCTTCGAACGAATCTGGAGAGTCTGGAGGAAAACAGCCAATGTTGTGGCCGGCATGGGTTTATTGCACACGATACAGCGATCGACCTAGTTCAGGTAGGACTTTGTAAAATGAAATATTGATGGTTAATAATAATGATAATTAATCAATAAATGTGCTTGAAGTCTTGACGGCGATACCATTCACGATCTTCTTTAGTAAGTGCATTCACCCCAACGGTGCGATTGAAGTGCGTAAATAGATCTGTCAATAAAATAATCATTATAGCAAGAATATCAATCTGAGTATTACAATATATGTTAATTTCTGTAATGCAATTACTTATTTAGAGTGTAATTAAAAGACACGATTTTTTGGGTCTGTAACAATTTAGGCTTAGGATTTCTGGCAAAATTAACAATAACTTATTCGTATTACACAATGTCGATGTTGATCTTTAGCTAAACTATGAGGAAACATATTGATGCGAACGTTTTGTATAAATGGAATTAGTAACAGTTTCTGCATGAAATCCCTAAGAAAGAAACAAATACATGATTTCCTTATAAAACTATTAGGGGCCTATTAGAAGAAAGGGTAGGTTTCGTGGATGTAGATACTAATAATTTTGTCTTATGTGCTTTTGACAATGTTAAATATACTTAAAAACGTACGCATGAGTTACAAAGACAAAATAGTGATATTTAGTTTGTATAAAGAGCAACAGGCAGTTATAGAGCTGGGGCTGCAACGTAGAGGAGTAAATATTAGGGAGTAGGAAGGGAGTCAGGCAGGGATGCACTCTGTCATCGCTACTTTTTAATCAATACACCGAAGACACGATCAACATCATTAAAGACAGTACAATTGTAGGGATAGATATATAGAACAAAAGATTAGTATACTAAGCATGTATGCTTATATTTAAAGATGATATAGCAGTATTAGCATATAGCAAGGAGTTAGAGATAGCTTTAATGCATACTGGTATGCAAGGGAAGAAAAAGTAGGGAAAGAGCGAATATAAAGATAGGAGACTTGGAAGAAGTGGCCGATTTTAGGGATCTAGGGAGTCAGATAAGTCAGGACGGAAGGAGTAGTAAAAAAATGAAGAAGTGTTAGAAAGAATAGGAGAACAGAGGATTTTATGGAAGTCAATAAGAAATAGGTGAGAGAGGATAGTAGGATACCTTCTCTGGCATGAATGTTTAGTCAGAGACATATTAGAGGGAGAAACGGGAAGCCTAGATTAGATTACTGTTCGCAAATAGTTAAGGATGTGGGCTCTTCTAGTTTTAGGGAAATGCGAAGATTAGCTCAGGATTGGAAGTAACCAGTCTTAGGCCTGACGACCTTTTATGATGTGCAATGTATATTATCACATCCTTTTCCTCAAAAATCGTTTGGATAATCACAAACGTAGCTATAAACTAGCCGTTTTATCTCAGCCACTTGAACGAGATTAACTAATACAAGCGTATAATAAAATCCATGTATCAAATTTATGAAACTGGGAAGTGATCGGTGGTGTATGTTAAACTAATAAAAACTTGATATGTCTTTTAAAATTCTTGTCTAATATATATACCACTAGACCTGGATTGGTTTGCACGCATTTGGTTATACGGTCGCTTATTTTGTTGTTTCCCATTTTTAAAACTTGTCTTTATTGTCAGTCAAGTCAGTCCAGTCGGAATAATTCTTAATTTAATAGCATTTTTGCTTTTTATGGTTGACCGATCGTATCTTGTGTAATACGTTGTGCGGCAAACAACTATCAATTATTCGTGATGGATGTACTCTTTAAGTAATTACGGTAATTAATTTCAGGGAGAAATGATTCAGGCCGCCGCGTAGCACTTTTACGACTTCTATATACCTATCTATAAACAGTTTTATTTTTATTATTTGCCTTAATAGATACATGCGTATGCATCGATCCACATGGTGCATGCACCATAATACATGCCTATATACCTAGGAGTTAAGATTCTTCAAATAATCGCAAGATAATTACAAAATTATGTTTGATAATTGAGCAAGGACCAATTTCTTAATTGATGCAGGGGTAGTGAAAGTGGGGTTAGAGCTAATATAAAAATTAGGAAACAAAAAATTAGATTTCGCCGATTTTCGGTCATTATCATCATAAGGTCCTTAGTTCTAAGACTGGTTGGACATACACCTTCACTCTTTCTTATCCTGTGCTAACCTTCGCATTTCCCTAAAAGTAGAACAACCCATATCTTTAACTACTTGTGAACAGTAATCTAATCTTAATCTACGTCTACCTCTACTCCTCTTAGGTCTTGTCTCTGCTTTTGATATGACTCTAACTTAGCTTTTCATGCCTGAGAAGGTATCCTACCAACCTATCAATATCTTGATGAAAATATAGAGGATAGTGTAAAGAGAATGTTAGAAATGACGAATTATCGGAAAAATAGGAGAACAAAGGAATGTAATAAGAAATAGGAGATAAAGGGTAATACTTAGATAAATAATAGAAGCAGAAGCAGGAGTAATGAGAGGGAGAAGAAGGTCTAGATTCGATTACTATTTGTAAATCGTGAAAATATCGTGAGGGATTAGTGGTCCTGTAAGGATTCCTGTTTTCAATCTACCGTACGGAACCCGAAAGTAACTAATATGCATTTTAAACATTGATTTAAAGTTGGGCTATTGTTTAAATTAACGTAATAAAACGAATTCAAACAAATTTCGTGTGCGATTACACCTATGTTGTGCACATGCTTAAAGTTCAAACAATAATACCGACAAGAGGGACGTCGTGAACGTGGTTATTTATCAGTGTTAAGACCCCGAGTACGAAATTAGATGCTGCAAATTACATTAATTTGCCCGAGATTTATACGTTTGCAAATTAACGAGGATAAATCACGGGCACATGGCGTTTGATCTCGTGCAAGGTACGGAAAATTAGTCGACAACGTTTGGACGTTTGTGGTGTTATTATACGCTAATGAGGCATTAATGTTACAGGAAATAGCAAAAGGACAATTAGGGAATATAAAAAAGTGAGAGAAGGTAACAAGAACCCAACGTTTATAACGACTTTGTCGTAACGCACCCATTGCGTACCTATATATGCATATTGTAAATAAGCAGAAGGGAGAAGGTGATACTGACGAAATTCATACATAGAATTGTTGTTGTTTTTGTAGAAAACGGGAATGAACAGAAAATGGGCAATGTTATTACCTATAACACTTTGGAAATCTCTCCGAAAGTACTGTAGAATCGAGGCACCAAACGGAATCTAAATCGTTCTGAACATGTTTTCTAATTAATCCAAAATAAGGTTTTTCACTAAGAATTCATTGAATATTTTAAAATGAAGGTTTATATATCATTGACTGTAATAAATTAACTGGAATTAAACAACAAATTAAGGATCATTGCCTGAAGACATTGAGAACAATTTAATCAAGTAACATGTGTTGAATTAACGACCTGGGAGGTAATAACTAATTTTCTTGTCCGTAATCCACGTCCTACATGTACCTCTTTCTATTTTCGCATAAGATACTATTATGGCGTGGTTTTGTAATACGGTTTTAATATATGTATAGTAATACCCAGATACTTCAATTATACATACCAAAATCGGCATGGGAATATTGAAAGACACAGTAAACCATCCCTTTGTGCTCGCAATTCACCACTGTCCACGCATTTCGGTGCGTATGCTTTTGCGATACCCCTACCGACCCTACTCTTTACACCTTCGAGTAGTTGAACTTCTTTTCTTGGTCCAGACGCTCCTGCCACGTCACTGTTTGTCTTATTTCCCCTATTTTATGGTGTAGGTAATGCAAACTATACCTATATAGTAGCACACCTTTATAATTTATTGGTAAACGTTAACTGGATCGATAAATAAATGTATCTACGCATCTAATACGTACATGCACTTATAAAGAAGGAAATAAAAAAATAAATTGAATTATTTGCATATTGATTAATAAATTTGTTCGGCTAAAACGCTTGTGTTTTAAACTATATACGTAATAGTTAAAAAGAGTTAAACTCCTTCGTGTACTTATTACCTATTAAATAGGTACATATGATGTTTATACATTGGTAATAGGGGAACCCGTGTGTGTTTGTCATCTAGAGTCAATTAAAATATCGCAAGAGTTATGGTTTGACAGCATAATATTGCAATCAGTTGCGAGTAACTGACTATAGGTTTCAATTTTCTCTGGTAGACGTACCTACCTATATATAATGGGCCTGTTTTTCTCTACGTGTTAGGTATTAGATCGTTTCCTTAATCAAATAGCATACGTTAATATTAGTTAACGATATAAATATTTTGTAAATTAATAAGAAGTCATAAACTGTCACTGAAAGAGTGAAGCGATAGCAATAATTTAGAGTACCTCGAAGGTTTGCCTGTTATATTAACGTGGCGACTGACGGAATTAATTATTAGTTTAACATCAGTAAATTTTAAAAGAGATTCATCAGTACCGTTTTAGTAAGTTTTTAAAATAATAGTCGACCTAAGTTAGGTTTCTAAAATTTTAAAAATATTTAATTACTGAGATTCAATGAATATTGATTATGAAGTTACGTGTCTGATATATTGATTTCGATATTCTACGTATGTAGGCACTTAATCAAGTCTGAAACTAAAATGTTTTAATTGGATAGCATCTAATTATAGTATTTTATTTGTGTCTCTCATTGGTTTTCTCAATTACTCATTCATATTCATACAATCTTAAAAGTTTTTGAAGTTACTTCGGAGTTATCAAAAATTATTATTAACTACGTGGGAATGTTTCGGGTAGCTTGTACTTTCCGGTTTACCTATGATAACTTGCAATTTTTCTTTTGGCCTAATTAATGATTATGACTTCTAAACACTCGCTATACCTAATACGACTTGGGAAAATATTTCTAGATACAGTGTAAACTCTATATAACGACACTTAAGGAACTGAACATTTTTCGGCGTTATAAAGTGTGGTCGTTAAATGGAGAGAAATAAAAGATATTATTTTACTATTCCATGATAATATGCATTTACCAATATAGTACACATTTTGCACACGAACATTATTATTCATACATTGCGTATAGCTTG